TATTCTTTTATTTTATAGTTACATCAGCTTACTACAAGTGGTAGAAAATTATAATTTTAGAGGTTTTTCGGAAAGCTGCATGAAGATTCACAACGCGTCATAGCTTTGGCTGCAATTATTTAGGCCTTCAAATTGCTTATTTCTACTCATTGTAGTTGCAAGGGAATACCATTTGAAAATAGAAAATAGTATATTCTTTAATTTTACGTAAGTTTTGAATAACTACAAGTGGTAGAAAATTGTTTTTCTGCGTTTTTATTAACATGCGTTATGAGCGTTTTAAAATGGTATGAAATTCATAACCAGCGTCAGCAAGCATCAATCGTAGGAGGCTGTGATCATTGTATTTTGACAGTTCAAAACATTAAATAACTCGCGTTTTGTTGCGATAAAGAATATTGCACAGCAAGTAAAACCAACAAAATTACCTATTTGTTTAAAAATGAATCGATTTGAAAATCATACGCTATGCAAAATATGCGTGAAATTGTCTGATGTAATGATCAATCATCGCACCATGACTTACTTACTCGGATTAATAGAGGATTGTGGCTACAACTTGAAAAACGAAAATTTGTTCCGAATTGTCCACGGATATTTGCACCTAAACTACGCAAAATTCAAAGTGCTGAATGGGAAAAAGGTGAATAAATTAGTGTCTAAATATTATACAGGGTGTCCTTTAAAATGTGTCCCAAAATTCTCAGGCAGATTCCTTAACCAAAAAATGGAAAAAAAGTTCCTATAGACCTATGTCCTAAAGTGCCCCCTAAGCGAGCAACAGCCTCTCGAAATCATTTTTTTTATTTTGATTTTTTGAATTTTCTTAAAAATGGAAACAAATAAAAGAACCAAATTTTGGCTGTTAAATATGATCAATAATAGTGACCTTTTGACACCTTCAAAAAGAAATTATTTCGTCAGGGGTGTACTTGGGAATTTTTTGAAAATTTTGATTATTCATAACTTTTTTGTGTTTTTGGTAATGACTTATCCATATTTTTTTTTACATTCTACATTGAAAACTACGTCAAAAAGGAATACTTGTTTGATCTCGATTGGAGCAGCCGTTTCCGAGAAAACATCATCCAAAGATATTCGTGCAGTTTAGGTTAATTTTCAATTTTGGCTGTTATAGCCAAAAAGTTGGAAATCGAGGAACACGGCTTACATGTCCCTATCCTTACTTTTGAAGGTCTATTCAGTGGCAAAAAATATTAGTTGATACAGGGTGATCAAAAATCGGATGTGATTTTGGATTTTTGATCACCCTGTATCAAATAATATGTATTTTATGTCACTGAATAGACCTTAAAAAGTTAGGATAGGGACTGTAAGCCGTTTTCCTCGATTTCCAACTGTTTGGCTACAACAGCCACCTGAATTTGAAAAAATGTGATTTTTGAGTAGCTGTAGATCCTTTACTATTCATATTAGATAACAAGTGTGATATATCATTGAAATCAGATTATCGAGCAGATTCTAAAAATATAAAAATATACAGGGTGTTCCATTTAAAAAACATAACTTTGATTTGGCACGGCCTTATGAAACACCCTGTCACATCGTAACTAATTTTAAAATGTGAAGCTTAAAGCTGCCTACTTTTATTATAACAGATCTACAGAGCTTCCTCACACTAATCAATCACCCTGTATACTATTTCTAGCTCTCTAAATAAAATTTAAAAATTTAGTTCCCATTTATTTATTATGAAGACCATAAGGTTTGTATTTAGCTGTTTAGAATAAAAAAGTAAAAATATGTATTTTTTTGGCGTTTTTGTGTTTCATGGATAATTTTTTTCGCTCACTGATAAAAATGTTTCTTCAGTTAAACATTATTTCTAAAAGTGTTCTGGTGCGATTCGTTGTATTGTTATTATTTTGTTTAAAATGGCTCACAATAACTACAATAATGATTACACATTCGGCGAAATGACGGACATGCACTTATGTTTTGGACTCGCTTCTGGAAATGCCAATGAAGCTCGCAGACTTTATCAGGAGCGCTTTCCAAATAGGCATCTTCCATGCGCTAAGACGTTTTCTAGAATTGACGATAGACTTCGGGAAACTGGTACATTTAAGAAAAACTCTAGTAACAGTGGAAGACAAAATTATGTGAGAACTCCTGCTTTGGAAGAAGCAATTTTGGATAGGGTAGCTGAAACCCCATCGACAAGTACCAGAAAAATAGCAAATGGTAAGTAATTACTTATTTATTATTTTAGCTACCCCGTACCTTATCGTATAAAACTAGTTTTTTTACTTGTTATTGCTTCTCTTACATTTCACGACTTTTCGTATCGAAAAGAGTTGCGTTATGCAGAAAAAATCTGATTTCCCAAATCAATGGATTCTCTTTCTTAACTATTCACTACACAGATTCTCTCATTTAATTTCAGAAGTGGGAGTCGGACGTAACACGGTATGGAAAGTTTTGCGTGAACAACAATTGTACCCTTACCACATTCAAAAAGTTCAGGGACTTAAAGCTACTGATTATGAGCCGCGAGTTATCTTTTCTGAATGGTTTCTTGGAAGATGTAATCAAGATGCAATGTTTCTTAATAAAGTGCTATTTACCGATGAAGCTGGTTTCACTAGAGATGGTATAATAAATTTTCGAAATATGCATGAATGGGCTGAAGATAACCCTCACGCGGTTGTTGAACGTCACCACCAGGATAAATTTTCAATAAACGTCTGGGCTGGAGTTATTGATAATTACCTTATTGGACCATTTGTTTTGCCGAATAGGTTAAATGGAGCAGCATGCAGGCTTTTTTTGGAAAATAACTTACATGAGCTTCTTGATAATATTCCGATTCAAATCAGACATAACATGTGGTTTATGCATGATGGAGCTCCACCACATTACAGCCTTGAAGCTAGACAGCACCTTAACGAAAGATTTGAGGGTAGAGTAATTGGCAGAGGTTGTCCTGTTAACTGGCCACCTCGTTCACCAGATCTAAATCCAATGGATTTTTTTGTTTGGGGTTATTTAAAATCATTGGTTTATTCCAGTCCTGTTGAAACAGTTGAAGAATTGGAAGAACGAGTTTTTCATCATTGCGAAGTTCTTAGGAATAATCCTGAAGTATTTTTTCGTGTAAGACAGTCTATGATGCGACGGTTGCGCTTGTGTGTGGAAACCAATGGTCGCCACATTGAGCATCTGCTTTAATTTTTTTTGATTTGTTTTTTTAGAATAAATATTTTTTTAAACCGTTTCTTATTATTAAATAAAAATAGTCCCACCACGACATTTGAACTACAATTATTTAGAGAGAGCTAAAAAAGTTATTTTTATTTACGAGATTCACCGAGGTAATTTAGGAAAATTGAAAATTAAGCTAAAGTGGACGAATATCTTTGGATGATGTTTTCTCGGAAACGGCTGCTCCAATCGAGATAATAATAATAATAATAATAATACATAATAATAATAATAATAATACTCTCCCTAATTCACCCCCTTACGAGTGAATTTTAACCCCAAAAGCTGAGCTTGTCCGGGGAAAGGGACGGCTATTATTATTATTTGCCGTGGCGCTCCGGGGCGACTTAAAGATGATTGATGGTGCCATTTGACTTACAGGTGAGGAAAACCCGGAAAACCCCACCCACCATCATCGAGACGGTAATGTATGGCGAATTTTTTTAATCTGCATGTCATATCAACAGAAATTGAATTTCTATTAATACGCCACACATCAAATCCTAAACCGAACCATGCAATTTAATTAAAAATCCACATGGTCTGGTCTGGGATTCGAAACCCAGCAGTCTCAGACTCATAAACTTGCCTATAAATGAATATAAGCGCGATAGACCGCTACACCACCGTGCCCGATTAAACAAGTATTCCTTTTTGACGTAGTTTTCAATGTAGAATGTAAAAAAAAATATATGGATAAGTCATTACCAAAAACACAAAAAAGTTATGAATAATCAAAATTTTCAAAAAATTCCCAAGTACACCCCTGACGAAATAATTTCTTTTTGAAGGTGTCAAAAGGTCACTATTATTGATCATATTTAACAGCCAAAATTTGGTTCTTTTATTTGTTTCCATTTTTAAGAAAATTCAAAAAATCAAAATAAAAAAAATGATTTCGAGAGGCACTTTAGGACATAGTTCTATAGGAACTTTTTTTCCATTTTTTGGTTAAGGAATCTGCCTGAGAATTTTGGGACACATTTTAAAGGACACCCTGTATATATTTTATTAGACATAGACACATAATTGAAAGCATCCAAAGTCCTGCATTTTCGCCATTAAGAAGAAAAGAAGTGGCCGAAGAATATAGAAAACACCTTAGCATTGTAATTAAAATGTATCAAAACTAAACCTATTATGTGAACAAATAAAAACCAGTCTGTCAAAAATGGTCTGTTATTGTAAACGTCAAAAAATTTCCAGTATATTTCGCTGTTGGGTACCCCACGAGAAAAAAATTTCCACTAAAATACCTCCGTTGCCATGGTGATCTCTGTCAAAAACACGTATTTTGATTGGTTCAAAATTACAGGTGTGGAATTTTCTATGAAATCTTGTAGAAAAATTCAACGATAAATTTCTTCTTCCAACCTATTAATTCAAGAATATTTTCCATGTACAAAATTAGACACACGTGCATCAGTATGCTTAATAACAAATATCAAGCTTGAGGTGGCAAATAAACAAATATTTTTTTTTATATAACTAATATTACTAAAAAATCGTTCACTGTTTCGTAACTTTGACCTGTGTTTCATATAAAATTTAAATATGCCGTTATTTTTTTTTTCTTCATATGCTCAACAAGATCAGACACTGAAAAAACTTTTTAAGCTGAAAATCATCCAACCGACTAATTACAAAGTTTTTCTATTATCTAGAAATCCATAATGATTATAAAAAACGACTATTTTCTTTATTCTCAATATTTGAAACGATTTTAATTCTATAAAAATAATTGTAATGCTATAAAACTCGTAATTTGTACTTACCTATATTGATATTGCATAAGTGTTGTCGTTAATTGATTCTCAGGATGTACAACTTTTTCTCGTTTTATGGATATAACCACAGGACCAAGTTGCTCATCCATACCAAACCAGTTCTGGTGCTCTGAAAGGAAATGGTAACGGATATTAATACATAGGCGTAACAAAGTTATATTTTCTAGAAAACAATTTTGTTCATATTTTTTATTGATTGGTAATACGTCTCCGACTTCATAATTTCCAAATAAAGAAGAAACATAATGAAATATCAAACCAATATATTACAAAATAATGAGGAAAACAACTACTCTATTTGGAGCACTAGTTGGAGTTTGGTGGTTTGTCACCAATTCTGGAAGTTTTAATGTCTACTTAGCGGTAGAATTATTTCGTTTTAGCGGTTTGCGATAATTTTAGCGATATTTTCCTTTTTTTTTTGGTGGCAAAACTAGTGTTCTATTCATTTGATTTTTTCTGTGGCGTCATATAAAAAAATCGACTTTATAAATCTATAAATTGACACATTTTAACAACTTATAACTCGAAAACTGAAAAAGATATCGAGATGCAGTTTTCACTAGACCTTTTACATTTACTTCAAATTTTTCTTCACATTGTTGTCACATGTAATTTTTTTCTGGAAAGTGCCGAAAAAAGAACGAACTTTTTTGAATCAAAATTGTGAGCTAATTTTAAATAGAACAACCTATAATTTTTAACATCCTCGGAAAGACCATTTCTTTCCCTTTCCAAAAATGTATTCATTGTAAGTAAGCATTTATTCAATTTTTTTGGGAAAAATTTACTTTTTTATGAAACCATGTCGATAACTTCTAAAAGTATCACAATTTAAAAGCCTTTAACTCGATAATGTGACAATTTATTGATAAGAGGTTTTGACTAAAATTCGTAGCCTGTTCTTGCTCAGGCAGATGCAGGCTTCCGATCTTTTTTGGTTATATTCACCCAGAAGTATCTTGGCCTGTCTCAGCCCCAAGGGTATTGTTCCAATTATCGGTTCTTCTACTACCCAATTATTTTTTAATCTCTCCTAATATTATGTTACAGCTGATACCGCAGAACGGCTCAGGTCGTATAAAGGGTGTTTGAGCCCCTTTCCTTGCAAGACTATCTGCAATCTCGTTACCCTGTACCCCGTTATGACCCGGGACCCAAGTGAGAGTAACTCTATTTTTCTCGCCTAGCTCATTCAATTGTTCTAGGCATCTCCAGACCATTTTTGAGCTGATATCGTAAGAACTCAGCGCTTTGATGGCTGCTTGACTATCGGACATGATGATAATTTCTTGTCTATGATAGTTTCTCTCGATGTTGAACTGGATACACTTCTAGATGGCGTGAATTTCCGCCTGGAAGATGCTTGGGAATTTCCCCAAGCTTTCTGAGTGCTTGGTTCTCGGCCCATACACTCCTATTCCAGTTCTTTCTATGGTTTTGGAACCGTCCGTATACCACTCAATAGCACGTCTTTCGGTTGCAACCGCGATGGATTCTTGGCTCCATTCTTTTGCAGCCCAGCTCTGTGGTTTTGAAGTTTTTCACAAAACTGTACTTATTGGCTCTGGGGTACAGATATAGTTTAATAAAAATGTAACATTAAAATAAAGTGTATTTTCTGTAAATTATGTTCACTACTGTTTGTTTTTGTCTTAAAGCATTCTTTCTATAGTACAAGAATAAGTGTATAGTATATATATCATTTTCGAATTGTTGTCCTGTGCCTCCCTGAAAAAATTTCTGCCTACGCCCATGCCTCTTTTCTATTCTTACGAATTTCCAATACATAGTTTGTCAAATATAGATAGTGTCCCCCTTGACGCTGGACAGCCTTGTACATAGTCTTTTTTTAATGGCCTTCCAGTATGTACTCAAATAGCCAGTTGTACATAGTCTAAGAATTGTATTACTGATTTTAAGCGTGTATTTTTTTTTTTGAAAAAAATTTATCGCCTATCATTTCTACCTATATTATGTATGAAGTATTAATTACATTGCAACCTAAAGGATCTATAATGTTCCCTGCTGTCACTAAAACAGCAACATTTCTATCTATTTCCGTTTCAATCAATTATCAATCATCATTCGTAATTTGCACGCCCATGCATTGTTATTGATACTGATGCTGTAATGAGCGCGAAGACATTGACATTGATACTATGTCAAGTAAAAGTTATTTTCGTTTGAAATCAAAGGCATCTCGTCTTGGTGTTTCTGCCAAGGTTCCAACCGACCGGTAGTGGTTTATTTTTTGTTGCGCTCTACCTGGATTAGTTTCGAAAAGATTATTCGAGCGATTTACAAATGACACTGACACGGATTTTAGAAACTGGAATTCGTAAAATATTTGGAATTCGAATAGATTTATTAGAAATTATAGATGCTATTTATAAGTTATCGATTCGGTTTTTGCAATTTCTCGTTCACAACTTAAAAACAACAACAAGTTATGAAAACATTTTCAAGGAAAATATTTTTTTGATATACAGTGTGTCCCAATTTTTCACGTAATAATAAGATAAATAAGAAAATATTTTCAACAGTAAATCGACGAAAATTAGTAAATGCTTTGAAAGAACTAAAAATACCTCTTAAACTTGTAAAACTAACGAACATGACTCTGGAAAATAAGAATTTGAAGGCATTCAACAACAAACAACAGACTGCTGGTTGCACTCGACGCAGCCAAAGCCTTCGACACGGTTTGGACTGACGGTCTAATCTACAAAATGTTTGTGAATGACTATCCCGTCTTCATTGTGAAAACAATTTAAAGTTACTTACAAAACAGAACATATCACATTAAAATCAACGATATCACAACCGGACCATACACTGCAAAAGCGGGAGTACCTCAGGGTTCGGTACTCTCGCCCCACCTGTATACCATCATGATCCATAACTTACCCATGGGTGATAATGGTGTACAGACGGCGCTGTACGCTGACGATACTTGTGTCTAAAAATCATACAACTCAGCAGAAATCGCCATGAGAAGACTGGAGATCCACACCAACAGAATGTTAGTCCCCTTTTTCGATAAAAACTAAAATCAACCCTCAGAAAACCGAGGCCGTTTTACTAACCAAAATGATTTATTCCAACAAAATAATGATAAACCTAATGAATCCATGATAACGCTGGCCGCGTGCGGCAGGAAAATCGCGGGCTTGTCATTTCTAATTTTCGGCCGCGTGCGACCACGCGACAGAACCGGGTTAATGGGCTTTAAGTCATTTAAAAACATCTAAAGTATTACCGCGCGCGATGCCTCGCGATCAGTCGCGCGCGACGTGTCGCATGAGTGGGCTTTCCTTCTAAGAGTGCAGAATAAAGTAATTCCCACGGCTTCTCACATCAAATACCTTGGAATCATCATCGATAAGGGGCTAACGTTCAGAAAACATATTGAGGATCGAGCTATGGCTATGATACGCATTCTCTATCCTATGCTTCATAGACGTAGCGGAATTACTCGAGCCAACAAACTATTGTTATACAAACAAATAATCAGGCCCGTGTTAACATATAGATCTCCAGTATTCTGCTCCATGGCAGGTAGTCACATTCAGAGATTACAAAGAATTCAAAACAAGTGTCTTCGGCTGGCTTTGGGGTACGACCACTACGCCAGAATTCTTGACATGCACCATGAAACATCCATGTCTACTGTTAAAGAGCATATTAAAACCACCGCTGAGAAATTCTATACACATTGTCTTCCGCATTACGTGAAGAAGACATCTTCTCTCAATGCCGGGGACAGGAGGCATGGATGCTTGCACGACAAATTAGACATCTACAGACGAGATAATTAACATAACAGACTCAGCAACACACTCCTCGCTGCGAACAATTCACTAATAGTTATTTTACAGGACTAGGGGAGACTGCCCTACAGTGAGACAGGTCCCACAGTGAGACATTTACTATATCTCTCTGAAAAACTGTAATTGTTGGCAACGCTGTACAACAAACGAACCACTTCAATGCATTTACCCATCTCTTCAGCCGAATAGTAACCTTGAAGGCGATAGTTACGTTCAATATCAGTGAGTGAATAATATAATCTTTCGTCTCTGTTTATATGCTGGTAAGTACCATGGGTAACATCGTTAATTTTATTATTTTAAAATAACTTTGTAACAAACATTTTTACGTATAAATGTTCGAGTTAATGTTTAAGGTTATAGAAATACATTATGTTTTTATTAGGATATTACATTGTCCAACAGTGGGACAAAGTTGAGTGCCCTACAGTGAGACATGTCTCACTGTAGGACACAAGTCAAATTCAGGATAAATAAATATCGTGCTTATTAAAATCTGGATTTGAAGATTTAATTTTGGTTTTAGAGCAAAGAATATGGACACAGCAAAAAGAAAATTAAATAAACATGACGCACATGTAATGAGGGAAGCAGTAGCTATGGTAATAGCAGGACAGCCACTAAGAGAAGTTGGTCATATAAAAGGTATACCACATCAGACTTTACATCGCTATGTTAAAAAACAAAAAGAAGCTTCCGAGTCAATTTCTATGGTACCAAAATATGATGTAAGAAGAATATTTACAAAGCAGCAAGAGGATGTATTGGCAAACTACATGATCACCTGCGCAAAAATGTTCTACGGCCTACCTCTAATTGAATGTAGACAACTAGCCTACGAAATGGCAAGTGTGAATGAAATTGATACGCCAGATACCTGGAAAATTCGAAGGCTTGCAGGGAAGAAATAGATGCGGGGTTTTATGAAGAGAAATCCTCGGCTATCATTAAGGACACCTGAAGGGTGCAGTTTAGCGAGAGCTGCAGCATTCAATGAAACCAATGTAAATTTGTTTTTTGATAAATTACATACATGTTATATGAGAAGTGAACACTTCAGTAACGGAACAAGGGTTGAAACTGCTACCATCACACAACAAAAACACCATATAAAAATCCTAGCAGAAAGAGGCTCCAAACAAGTCAGCAAGATAACTTCTGGAGAAAAAGGAACCCTTGTAACAACGTGCATGATTGTAAGTGCAGCTGGAAATTGGTTACCACCTGCAATGGTATTTCCCAGAGTCAACTTTCACAGTCGTATGATCAATGGTGC